CAATAACCAAGAGGAATTGCATATGCTGCGCACTAAAATTATAGAAATGTCTCTAATTAGACACAAATAGAGATATTCGGAAATAAAAATTTGAAATTTTGATCAAAAACGCTATTTTCTAATCATTTTTATTTTAACTATATATAAAGTATCTTTTTCTATAATTTATACTTGATGGTTTAAAAGACGTTTGACTCAAAATTTTACTGCATTCATGTGGTAACTATGCTTTATTCACTAACTACCTCCTTGTTTCAACCCTGAAACAATATATTATACCTCCCAATGCAGGTATTACTCCAACAAAATTAGCAATTTGGCTATTGTCTAAAAATTTTCTCAAAGAAAGAGGAGTAAAGTCCCATTTTTAGAATTCGAGCTATATTAGAATGCAACTAGACAAAAGGTTACAGTTTACAATACACATATTCAAAAAATTTGCATTCGAAATTTAAGATAAATACAATTTCCAAAAAAGAGTATCGAATCAAAAAAAAAAAAAAAAAAAAAAAAAAAGAAAAAAAAAAAAGAGAAGTGGGCTTCCAGGCACTTCGTGCCTTCTAGCCATAAAAAATTGCACAAGACCCAAGAGGAGGACACGGAGCCCAGCCGACCAGCCGTTGACTTTTTTTTTGTGTTCACTTTCACAAATTAATATATGTTTTCATGTTTTGTCAAGACTTCTTCGTAAATGTTTTGTCAAGACTTCTTCGTAAATGTTTTGTCAAGACTTCTCATCGTAAATGTTTTGTCAAGATCTTCTCGTAAATTTTTGTCAAGACTTCTTCATCGTAAATGTTTTGTCAAGAACTTCTTCGTAAATGTTTTGTCAAGACTTCTTCATCGTAAATGTTTGTCAAGACTTTTCGTAAAATCAGACAAAAATAATGTTTATGTTAGAATGTTAGATCAACACGTTTTCTAACATGTTTTTCTAACATCGTAGAAACTCATGATTTCATCGTAAATGTTTTGTCAAGACTTCTTCGTAATGAGCGTAAATGACCCAAAAATAATGTTTATGTTAGAATGTTAGATCTAACACGTTTTCTAACATGTTTTCTAACATCGGTAGAAAAATCATGATTCATGAATTTGTCTCGATAGAATTCTTTCATCGTAATGTTTTGTCAAGACTTCTTCGTAAATGTTTTGTCAAGACTCTTCATCGTAAATGTTTTGTCAAGACTTCTTCGTAAAATCAGACAAAAAATAATGTTTATGTTAGAATGTTAATCTAACCTCTTTTCTACCTCTTTTCTAACCTCATGAATTTTCATGAACTTTCTTTACAAAAGTCTTTACAGAAGAACTTTACAAAGTCTCAACAAAACATTGACAAGAAAGTTCATGAGAAAGACTTTACAAAGTCTTTACGATGAAGAACTTTACGAAGAAATCTCAAACAAAGTCTTTACGAAGAAGTCTTGACAAAACATTTACGATGAAATCATGAAAATTCAAGAGGGTAGAAAAACATGTTATGAAAGAGGTTAGATCTAACATTCTAACATAAAATATATTTTTGCCTGAATTCCGTATGAAATTTCATGAGTTTTGTATGTTTTAGACCATGTTAGAAAACATGTTAGAAAAAGAGGTTAGATCTAACATTTCTAACATAAAATATATTTTTGGCTGAATTCCGTATGAAATTTCTGAGTTTTGTTATGTTTTTAGACCATGTTTAGAAAACATGTTAGAAAAATTTAGATCTAACATTCTAACATAAACATTATTTTTATTGAATTCCGTATGAATTTCATGAGTTTTGTATGTTTTAGACCTTGAGAAAACATGTTAGAAAACATGTTTAGATCTAACATTCTAACATAAACATTATTTTTGGGTCATTTAACTCATTACGATGAAAGAGTCTTAACAAAGTCTTTACGAAGAAAATCTCAACAAAGTCTTTATGAAGAAATTTCAACAAAGTCTTTATGAAGAAGTCTTGACAAAACATTACGAAGAAATCTCAACAAAGTCTTACTGAAAAAGTGTCATATAAACATCTGTCAAAAGCCGCTTTTTAACTTCACTTTAAAATGCCACGTAAGCTACGTAAGAATAACGTAAGAGGAAGAGAGCATTGAAAACATCCAATAGTAAGACTAACACCACAACAACAGTTGCAACAACAAATAGCTGAATGACCCCACTATGTTGCCAACAAATGTCAAGCAATCCTATGCTTTTAAACCGAGTTCTTGGTGCACAGATGGAGGTTTAAGAGCGGCACTTTTAGCGAAATGGCAGGCTATGGTGGAGCTGCAGACGGACAGCTAATAAACCCTCAAAGTCAAATGAATTTGAGTTCACTCAAAATCAAATAACAGATGTCAAAAAGTCAAACATAGACCATACAGAAGCAAATAAGTGAAAACGAAAGAAACTAGAATATGACAGACACACAAAGAAACTAAATGAGTTAAACGTAGAGAAAAAGAAGAAAGAAGAACAACTTGAAAGAACTAAGTACAGAGGAATATGCAAAAAAAAGTGTCAGAAAAAGCAGCAGAAGTAGCAAAAATGGAAAACAAGATGTCATAAATTTGAAAAAACCATACTACTCGATATAAATACTGAAAGATGAAGAGATAAACAAAAAGCCCTGAAGACATATATGGATAGCGATGAGTAAAAAAGGAAGTTGAAGCAAATGTAAAGGCAGGAAACTTTTACAGTTGCAAAAACAAACGTACAGTATGAAAACTTAGCACAAGAAAGTAAAAATAACGACGCAGCCATGCAAAAGGCAATGAAAAGCGCAGAATATATAAAACTAACAATGACTGGTTAGATGCCCAAGCCCAACGTTAAAGCAAGCCCAAACTCATAGGGTCAATAAGGACAAAAATACAGCGGATGAAGAAGTTCAAATGAAGCTTTACAAATGCTGACTTTATTAAGACCGCTTCGAGCTTCTTCATAGTCAGGTGAAACAAACGTGAACGACTTCTATCTGGAAAGAAAACTGAAGTCTGAAGGTTTCGACAAAGAGTTTAAAAAGTAGCCACAAAATATGACGAAAATAACCGATGCGCAACGAGACAGGCAGTTCAAAAGTGCCTATGACGCCGTTAATGTCAGTTGGATAATTGACAATAATAAAATACGTTATATGAGAGTTCTCTCAATGAATTAAAGTAATAAATGGTTCCTATTATGGCATATTGGAATGCATAATTATTTATGTAATCCAGTTTATTTGACATGTATATTTCATTAGATTTTGAATATTGAAAACATTGGTATCCAATGGTTGTTATTGTATTAGAAAACCTAATTATTGAAATATATGAATGATCAAATGCATAACTATTGAGACTTACCAAGCCTTCATTTAATTGAATCTCTGGAAGTGTGCAGTTATAAAATGCATAGCTCTGAATTGTTCGAATTGTACTTGGAATGTAGATTGAATCTAAAATTGTATCACCAAATTCATATGAGTATATTGTAGTTTGTCCTTCAGGAAGATATGGATGTTTAAATGGATTATTACTAAACGGACGATTTCCATAGTATGATTTATTGTTCATTTCAAAATCATCAATTTGACTTCCAGTGAAAGCATAATCATAAACAGCAGTTATTGTTGACGGGACATTGATTCTTTTCAGCTTTGCATAATAAAATGCATAACTACTAATTGAAGTAACGCCTTCAGGAAGTGTTATCTCTTCAAATTCGGTATATTGAAAACAATAACTTCCGAATGATCTGAATGTTGCAGGGAGATCCAATTTCTCGACTTTAGAATATTCAAAGCAATTGTTGCCGAAAGACCGAAGAGTGTCTGGAATCTTGATATTTTTGAATGTAGAATGCGAAAAGCAATAGTCTCCAAATGAATAAAATGGATCAGGGAAAGTAATATTTTTGACATTTGTATATGCAAAACAATATCTACTCAATGCGGTTACTTTAGATGGTATTTTAATGTGCTTGATTGTTGATCCACTGAATAATCCTTCAGATAAAGTAGTAACTGTATCAGGAATTGTTACGTGTTTGATATGTGAATTTGCAAACATATAGTCGGCTAACATTGTTTGTTTTTCAGGAAGATCAATATGATTGATAAGAGAACCATTAAAGCATTTGTATCCGAAAGAAAGTGGCCTGTTTGGGAATATGATTTTAGTAATTTCCGTGTCACTAAATGCACACTCTCCGAAAGATTGTATAGTGTAAGGGAATATAACAAAAACTAGATGGCTATTTGCAAAAGCATATGGACCAATAGTTGTTATTCCCTCAGGAACAAAGAATGATTCTAAAAACGCATTAGCAAAAGCAAATCTTCCGAGAGAAGTAATATTTGATATGCTACAGTATTCCAAGTTTGAATTGGCAAAACCCAAATCTTCAACTTGTCTGAATCCATCTGGGAGAGATATGTTTCTAAGAGGGCAGCTACCAAAAGCAAAGGCACCAATGTTAGTGAGTGTACTTGGTAATACAATTTTCCATAAGTCACTAAATTCATATGTGTGAGGATAAATTCTTGTCGTACCTTCATTCAATGTAATGTACTGTAACGAACTTGCATAGAAACATCCATCCAAAATTTTAGTCAAAACAGGTGACATAGAAATGTTTATTAATAAGCAATTTGCAAATGCATATGGATCAAGTTGTGTGATAGGTGGAGGTATGACAACGTCCCGAAGAGAACAACCAGAGAAGGCATAAGCACCAAAATATTTAATTGTACTTGGGAAATTGATGTATCTGAATGGAACTTCAGAATTTCTAGAAAATGCATGATCTCCAATATGCTCAAATCCTTGTGGCAAAGTGATATTTGACATATTTTTAAATTCTGAGAGTCCATAGTTGCCAATGTATGTCAAGGATGGAGGTAGATTAAGTTGGGAAATGTTTGAATTATTGTAAAATGCATAATCTCCTATCTTTGTTAACGTATCGGGAAATGTAATCTCATCAAGAAGGGAACAGTTCTGAAAACTTGAATCTCCAATGGTTACAACATGACAATAATTACAGAATTCATCACAGGAGAAAACTCATTCCAGAATGTTACGAATGTTACAATTGTTTTCTATGGAATGCATGATATAAGAACACCATCTACAAGAGAAAACTTCAGAGGTGTTCCTGGATCAGTTTATGTTCCATGTTGCTACAAATCACCTAGGTTTGTTAAAGTTAGACCATTTAATATGACATCTTGTGATGGTCTGTTCAATTGCTTTTCTTATAACAAAGCTTCAAGTTCTGTTAGATATTCTGCACTTGCTGCTATGTATTTCGCTAGAACAGATGATGATTGATTTAATCTTTCTAAAAATTTTTATGTATTTGATTTCAAAGTCAACATTTTTTCTATTTTTGCATTAAATTTGCTTAATACTTAAGTCAATTTAAACAAAAATTCTAAAATCTTTGAGTTTTTCGTGATAATTTCGTTCGATCAAAAAATAATGTTACCCGATTATGCGTAATTATATCGAAATCAGGTAGCATTCATTAAATAACATGTATTTCTATATTATATTGGCTATATGAGGATTAAAAAACAATAACAAAAAAGGTGATCAAACTATTTTTTGAAAGTCCGCCATAACTTTAATGGTACTATTTCAGCGTGTACAATGAATACAAAAATTCTAAGAGTGCCACATAAAATAGTACTTTAGACTTGAGTTAATGCTACCAAGCAAATGTTAAAAAGATGACTTTAGTGTTTTGATAATCAAAGATTAAAATCATTATTGTCTAAATCAATAATCATAACGACAGAAGTTAATGTTTTTTCATCAGTGCTTTAAATCCACTTTTAAAAGTATACCTCAAAAATCAAAATATCAAAAAAAAATTGGCCGATAGGTTTGGCTTTAATTTTTGTCTGCTTTTATGATTTGATATGGATGTTATAATTTTAAAAGTTGAGCCAAATTCACCAATAGATTTTTGAGATTTGCAAATACTCAATAATTTTCAGCGTGTTATCTTTTATTAAAAGAACTATTTGGTTTCAGTATCATATAAATTGATATTTACTTTCTATTTGAACCTTCATTTAGCTAATGATTTAATAATACAGATTTCATCTAGTCCTTATAAGAGAATTTTGAATTTGTTATAATAAAAAAACAAACAGATATAGCTTACACATCTATAATAAAGATACCTTTTATAGAAATCAGTATGAAATTTGTTTTTTGACACGTAAAGCTCTCAATTCATTATAACATGTTTGTCGATTTTTATATATTTTTCGCTTTCATTATCTATGATATTAAAAATTATGTCATCAGAATGTGAAATAATTAAACAAATGCCCTGCGGGAAGTATTTTATACTAGAATTTATAAAAAAAATCACTGTACGTTTAGCCTACTGGTTATGTCGTGGGGTTCAAAGGCAATGTGTTCAAATCAGTAAGCACCCGTTTTTTTTATATTTTTTTAACAAGGTGAATATAACTTTTGATCGAAATCAATGAGTTACATGAATTATCATTTATCTAACTACAATTAAATTGTGAAAATATACTATCCAATATTAGCGTTTAATAAAATCAAAGATTATTGACTTATATTTTGAAAGTAATCTAAGCAGAATTTAGATATCCAAATTCTAAATATCTTCATGCTTAGATGCTAGATAATATATTCTTATTTGAAAAATTTATAATGTTATTATTTTCTTATTTGATATTTACTACAAGCAGAAAAGCATTTATATTGTAAATTAACAGATTATGATAATTATACTCGTTTTTATATGTTCTTAATGAAGAATATCAAACGTATTTCTATGAGTTTTAAAAAATGAAAAGTTTTAATATGGCTAATATATTTATTATCATTAATAGAATAAAAAAGTTTTTTTCGCATATCACTCGATGATTTACCTTCGAGTTTTGTAAAATTTCCAAAAAATTTAAGGAATGCTCTTTGAATTTCTTACCTATAAGCATATTATCTGCCGTATTATTTTTTCGCTAATTGTAGAATTTTATTTAATTTTAATAATTAACCTTCAAGCTTATTGAGAGATCACATTGTATATTTGATACGTAGTACATATGCTAAATCTGTGAATTAGATTGTAAGATATTGAACAAACGTTCTTAAACATTTTAGATTTTAGGGAATTACTGAATTAAACTATATTTCTTATATGATATCTTCATGTTTGGATGCTTTGGGTATTATTTATTGGGCTTTTTCTATCCAAATGTTTGGCAATGGTAACCCAATTTCTAACAAATTTATGATGGAAAAATTTATGACTTTTATGGAGCCGAAAAAAAAGCATAGAATGAATAAGACTATTAAAGATAAGCTGTAATTTGATTGTGAATTTTAAGAAAAAGAATTTGGATTAAAATTTGAAATTCTTTTTTTTTGAAAATTAGCCGAGATATGCTTAAGCTAAAAATTACTAGAAGCGGTGTGATATAATTTATATAAAAAAACTCATAATTGCCATTATTATTGGTACATATAAAGTCAAATTATAATTTGCAGTTATGCTTTAATCAAAACTATATTGAAACGCTTTGTCACATCCATTAAAAAGGCTGTCGCATATAAATCCAAACATTTGCTTGGTATGTACTTTTCCATTTTAACGTCCTGATTGATATAAGCATGTTTTACACTTTAAAATAGTAATTATAACAACCTGTACACCATAGAAGTAGGCTATAACAAGAAAAATTAGATTGACATCGAATAATTTCAAGATTTAGAAACAATTGTAGCTTTCTCAATTATCTAGAGTTAAAATTCATTTATAATGAGGTCATATATTTTAATTATCTTGTAATAAGGGTTTCGTTTTGCGAAAAAAACGTACAATACGCAATTTCGCTAAAAAAAACATTTAGCTAGCAATTTCGACCTTTGACTCCACTCAAGACGTCACTTTTTTAATTTTGCGGTATCATATTTTTGGAAAATCTTTATGAATATTATATAAAAAGTCTCTTTAATATCTATATTTCATATTTTTATCGATTTTTAAAGTTTTTGCGAAAAGTATTCAATTATTTTTGCTATTGGTCGGGTAAATGTCAGATTTGCGACATTTTCTGATTGATATTCAGATTCTACGTTATATTAGTAATTTATGCTTTACATGTATTTTATATAAATTTTTATTGAATTCAAATATTCAATAGTTTTTTTATGCTAGATTAGTTGTATTATTTAAATATATTATATTGGCAACCTTTCTTTCCCCTGTCCTAATAAACGCATTTTGTAAAAAAAATATAGTGCATCAGTTTCGAACTAGCGTCCCGAGTACCCAATAGTAAGGGGTAATAACCATTCGACCATTTGCCACGTAAAGCATCGCCGGATTTTTTTGTATTTAATCACTCCCAAAACACTGTTTTGGCTTATTGGAAGCATATCAGACATAATCGCCATAATCAAAAAATCTATATACCCAATAAGTAATAAATTTGTCGATATAGATTTTCCATAAAATTAGTTTTTAGTCTGATCTTAAAATAAATTTAATTTTTTATAAAAAAAATCACATTTAAAAGTACCTTTTTAGTAGCTCGAAATCCTGTTGGTGGATTTCGGGCGTACTTCAAAATTAGCTTTTCTTCTACATATGCAAGCTATATTTTAAATATGGGGCAAATCGGATCGGCGAAAGGAGTTTAGTTACCTTTATAACAAATAAATTAACTCATCATTAAACGAAATAAACCACAAAATATAGTTAGCTATAGTGTATATATGTTGATATCATAATTATAAATCCGAAATATAAAACAAAAGATATGAAATAATAAAAAATATCGTGGAAAAAGAAACTCAAACAGGTATTTCATCTAACTCAGAGGTGATCTGGCTGTATCCAGCACGGCGATTTGATTCTATTAATTTAAGTGTCCACTGTAAGGCCAAATAAGGTCTATCGTCGTCCCAAAAATATTGCTCGAGATGGTGTTTTACTAAGGCCCAAAACTTAAAAAACACAAAAAAATTAACTTTACTCTTTTGAGATCCTTATCAGATATGCATCAATTTGATGCAGTATCGCAGTTCAAATCTGATTTTTTAATGTAGATGTACTCTAACATCCTTTAAAAAATGCAAAATGATATTAATTAAGTTTTTCATTTCTGTATCATACACGAAACAAAATCATTTATTATACTAAAATTTATCAAAGTTTGATTAATGAAAAAATAATATCTAAATTTTTACATTGAGTCGGCTATTGATATGGTTAATATTAAATCTTGTAAAAATTGGCATTATCCAGAATAATACCCACTAAAATACACAATTTTTTTAAAAAAATTTTATCAATTGTTATGGTATATCTTTATGATAATGAAATAAATGCTTATTTTTCATAAGTAAATACATAATTTATGCTTAAACACAAAAAATAACACGAAAATTTTTGGCCAACATATCTAAACTAAGGATAATGGTTTGAATATATAAACAATAATACTTTGTCCAGGGAATTAAATTTGTGCTATCCAATTGTCAATTCTTTGAATTTTTTTTAAATGCAAGATATCCCGGCATTAGCCTCAATAAATATATATATTATGCATCATAATATTAGTTTGTAATGGCATTAAAGCGAAATTCCTAATTTCTTATCAATTAAATTCCTTGAAAAACATTGGAATTAATGATTGGAAATAGGTCAAAAAAATTCCTAATATAAAACTTATACTTAAGATAAAATTAAAATTCGAAAATATCTATTTTTCAAAACACGCATCCAAAAGCGAAAAAATTCGAAAAAATCATGTTCTTATAAAACTCACTGATTTTGCAATTTTTATGAGATTTGAAGTGATAGAATATATTACCATCTTATTGAAACATATGCTTCATTGTTGTATTCACATAATATTAATCAGAACACTAGGAAAAGTGGATTTTCGAAAAATGACGATAACGATTATTTGCAAATCGCCTCTCAATTTTGAGAGACTTTCAATTTTTACAGTGGACCCTTAAATACAAAAATCCCGATCATACAAAACCCGCAGAGAACAAAATCGGAGATGAACAGCGTCTTGTTTTTGCCGCCTAAAATGCCTGGTTTGATTAAAGAGACGTAACGTTCGCCAAAGAAATTATTTCTAAGATAATTGCAAGATACGGATACATTAAACTGGCCTTTTGGAATAGTCTTATCTGTGTGTGCAAATAATTTCTTGAAATTAGGGCTATTCGCTGGGCGCATCCAGACCATAAAATGTTCATTTCGTATTTCTCCAGGGAAATACTGTGATTGGAGACCCTCGAGCATCCATCTTGATTTTCCTGTA